TGCATGCTTTTAGTGGACACGGAGTTTGAGCGCTACATTCAACAAAGTGGGTGACAAAATACGCCCCTGCTGAAAAGCAGTCATCACCTCCAACCGCTCTGATGTTTCTCCTAACCGCACACAAGTAAAAGCCGCCCACAAGTAACGCAGTCGGCTTGCCTGGAATGTTGCAACAACCAAAATGTTGCCGTGGCCGTTTTCTCTCTCTCATATCCGCCTGACATTAGAAAATGGAAGATTTAGAATATTGATTTATACTGGAGGAATCCGGTGAGCTTTCAAGCTCCTTTTCACAGATGTGCAGTAGGAATGAGCCATAACATCACACCAAAAACACGATAGGAGTGCAAAGCATAGTTAAGATAAACAAATCACTTAATAAATAATGTCCTGTACCAATAAAACAAAACAAAAAATATTTTACCGGGTAAAGCCTACTTATTTTTCAGAAGCGACCTGGCCACAATTAATAGCTCAACCAAAAGTGGCTTATAATATGGAAATTCATAGCTGCAAAATAATCAAAATAATCTAAATGTAATCGCTACTACATATTCTCTTCTAAACCATTAAGAAAATGCCTATCATCTTGTCTATCCCATTCAGCAACACTGTCGAGCACTTTCAATGCTCAAAAGCACTTTTCTCTTCAGCGTTACTGTGTTTGTTCTATGTCTTATGCACCGATCATATCCTTTTCCCAGTCCTATGGCCATCGTTCCCGACTCGGTGCAGACTTCGTTGTCTTATGCACTTTCTCCAGCATCTGTTGCCGCCACCTTTCAACATCTCATCAGTCAAACTGCTCTCTCCTACTGCCTGGCAGGGTTGAGATGTGTCACTGCTGTTTCACCCTCTTTGGCGGTTGCTTCTTTCTCCACTTGTGTAGTATCTATACTCTTAAGTTTTTATTATTTTATTTTATTTCTATTATTACTTTTATTAATTTTATTTTTTACCTACGTGACTTTACCGAAAAAACCTAAGAGTATGAATTCTTGCAGTCACGAAAGCTTCAAATCTGTGTAGTATCTGCCACCTCTTGCAAACTATTTCTTCCTCCTGCTGTATTGGGAATCTCAGTGATTTGCCTAATTCTTGGGGTTGAGATTGTTCAAACTCTTCTGGATAAAACAAGCTCCAAAAAAACTGCATGGCTTCATTGTATGCTGGTTCTTTACCAGTTCTAAGCCTGTTCTTCGAATGCCTCTTACTGCTCTTAGTATGTTTATTGTTTATAATGCTGTATTGCACTGCTTTTTCTCCTCTTCAATTCCATCTGATTTTGCCAATAATTCCTTCTACCCTGAGCAACTTATTCTTAATTTATATATATATATATATTTTAACTTAGCCTGTACCTTCTCCTGCTTTAAAAAAACACACACACAAAACATGTATTTATTGTAACATTTATTTTTCAAATATGCTGGTCTTTATCAGCTCTCGCCACATATTGCTGCAGTAGTTGTAGTTGCAAGCTGATATATATATTTGCTGTCAGAGGCCAATGCAAAAACTGATTTGAGTTTCGTCATTTGGCATAAAATTTAAATATTTCAAATCCGAATTTGTGAGTTGGGGAGGCACCGTGTGCTAGAAGTGATACAATTCCTTGTCGCTGCAGTACAATCTAATAAAAGCAAACTTTCTGGAAGTTGTATTGCTGGCAGATTAACAATGTATCGCAAATTATTGAATTTGTGTAGCATACCATGTTTTTACGTCTGTTTCTAATGTTACCAGACAGTGAATGTTAATGGTAATATCTAAATACCAAACCACTGTTTGGAATAATGTGGCTTGCGAGACACGTGAGAGAGGGTGTCTTCTGCCCATCAAACCGCTGGGCTTGAAGTGTCCTCTTGCTCAACTGACTCAGGGGTGGTGATCATTTCCATTGATGGCCTCTGAGAGTTGGGGGGGGGGAATTCCACATTTTCCAATGATGTAAGTTAAAGTGGAAAAGAGTACAAATTTAAGGCTGAGCCGACCGATAAGTACACCCAGGCCAGGCAATGGTATTCATCGTGACCTTTGGTCAAAACCAGTTTACTGGAGTGGTCACACCGCCTTGTTAGACAATACGGTGCCAATCCCCTTCCACACGCAAGCCCCCCCCCCCCCCCCACTGTTTCACAGTTTATTCTATGGTGCCCTTAGCGAGCACCTGTTGAAGCCACCAATATTGACACGAGCGGACGTTTAACCCAGCCGTTTGAGTCTCCCCAGTGCCGATATTCAGATTTTTTTTTTTATTGCGAACTTGCCTTACCTTTGATAAATATGATCTCATTTGAAGTATTTATGTATTTTTTTTAATTTCGGAATGAGAATTTTCCAGCACCTTTAGTTTTTTTTAAATGTAAATCGCAGTGGTGACAATAAGACGTGTAACAAAGATAAAACGACGACATTGATTTTTGCCGTAGAATTGCGGCCATGTGTGACGCTGCAAACAAGGAGTGACAGGTTTCACCTCATTTGTCTCCCTGGAAAGAGATGAGCAGCATGAACAGTGAAAATAAACTACGTCTGAGCGAGCTGAATCTACAGTGACAGCAGGGTAGGTCCAAGTCACTCGTAATCAGCCATGGTTTGTGATTATGGACACGACGGTAGCGCGATGTTATACAGGGGATCTTGGGTTTGATCCCGACCCTGACGCCTGTATATTTGGAGTTTGCATGTTCTCCCTGTGGTCGCGTGGATTTTCTTCCGGCCCCTCCAGTTTTTCCCTCCACACTTAGAAACAATGTGTTGAGAGTATTCGACTGGTATAATTCCCACGTGATAAAGCACTTAGTTTGAGCTATTATTTGTGGCCAGGTCGCTTCTCAGTGGGCCTTACCTGGTAAAATAAAAATAGTTTAGTTTATATTGTCATTGTAATGGGCGAAGAGTTCTATGCACTTAACAGGAAGGTTTCACCCGAACCTTTTGATAAGTAATAGCAATTGAAGTCACAATCGTTTGCAACAGCGCTGACGTCGTGTGACACGTGACGGTTGCCCGGCTATCTATAGGGTGGTAAGTCCTCAATATCAACACAACTTTATAATAACCCCTTGTTTACATAAGGTCATGATTACCAGGGTCAGTATGACCCCTTGCCTCAGATGGATGCTTCACCAGCACAGACGGACAGAGCTAATGCATTAAAGCTTTCAACGTTAGTATGAAAGCGCTAAACAGTCTACGCCGTAATGTGCAGTGTAAACAATTAGGAGGTCTGTATGTTTATGTTGCTGCTGCTGCTGCAGTGGCTCACATGTGTCAACATGGACCTGCCTGTTTCTTGGATTCTTTGCTTACTTGCGGTTATTTTCCTTGTCTGGGACAAGCAGCTTGCCTAAACTGATACCTTGTTGTCATGGCAACATTAAGAGGCCTGCTCCGTGGCTGTCTGCAGGCAAACACTGCGCATGGCTGCTCATGCGGGGCTCCACATCTGCACCCACCTGCTCTTCTCAGCACTGTTATAGATTGGTAATTCTAAAGCTGTCGGCCCTGCAGGTGCTGTTACGCATTGCTACCACGGGCCCACGCTGACGTTTGTTTGAACGAATGAAGGTAACCTGACGGCAGGGTGGCCTGCGTGTATTGAACACGAGACCCGAGGAACTGGTGGGTGGTGGTGGTGGTGGTAGCGGTGGTAGCGGTGGTGGCGGTGCAGCATTACAAACCACCGTAACGATCGTACAAGCACAGTGCCAGGCAGCTGCTGTTTTATTGTGAATGTGCACGTAGGTATCGTGTGTGGATGATTGTTAGGCTGTAAAACATCCCTGAACATTAAACAACAACTATGAGCCAGCACTGCAATTTGTGCAAGCTATATATCAAAAAAACTGTTCTGAGCCATTGCTTCAAAGTGCCGCTCGTTTTACCTTGCTCGTTTTTGCGTCACCTGTTTACATATGCTTTCGTGTTCGACTTTCATGTGCTGGGCGATGATCGTTTTCATGCGGGTGCAATCGAGTGGTGTTTACGCAGAAACGGTATATGATTTAAATGACGGGGTGTTTGCGATTGCATCCCACATTTGTTAGCAAGCAAACTCGTCTCTATCCGCTTATGCCATTGTGCCCTCTTCCGTGTGCGTCCGTGAATGTAGCGCTGTCCATTGCGTCCCATTTTGCGAGTGTGCTCCTGTTTGTCCACGCGACAGCTCCTCTCCCTGTGTCTATACCTAAAGCGTGTACCTCGTCAGGAGTGTGGCGATTTTTCTTGTGATTGTAGCTGCCTCTGTACGGTATGCTGAACTTCTTTCGCACCGTAAGTAGCCAACCGTGCTAATGGGAGGTGCTGTGGATGGCATGTGAACCCATAAGATACACAAACGAGCAGAAAAATATCTAGTTTTTTCGACTCGATGCAAGTGTTGTAAGATTTCAATATAACTTTATTTATTTCAGCGTTACTTTACCAGGGTAAAAAGTAAACCAAAGAGTAATTCCTACAGTCACGAAAGCTTCGAATCTAGTTTTAACTATTAATCCATGCATATTTGCACCCATAGTCGTTACATGCATCTGTGTGTCCCTGTGGCGGAGTACATGGTTAATTCCCATTTATGAGAAAATCTATTTGCATGCTCAAAGTGTACACCCAGTGTAATACATTGCATCTTTAGAGTCTATTGTGTACAAAATTATCAGGTATGTATGTGTGTTTTAATTTAAAATACATTTAAAATGCGAATCAATTGCAATAACAAAGCATATCTTACAGTAATATATCTATAACAAATAATAATTTACAGCTCCGACAAATCTACTGCTAGATGTTAAGGCCTCTGAAAGTGTCTGACGGTCGTGCAGATATCGTGTGCCACCGACTATTCGCTGTTGCCGACATTTGTCGACGGGTCACCGGAGTTCATAATGCAGTGTGCTCACCCACGGCACCACCGCTGCACACCCAGCAAATGTAAATAAACAACGGCGATAAGTGTATGGCTTGTGCATGTGCCCGTGTGCTCCTACGTGCGTGCGCAGCCATTGCTCTGAGTGGGGTGGAGGACGTGAGGACAGTGTTGGAGAACTACAGCATGGAGGACAACCCAATCGAGGCTTTCAAGCGAAGACAAGCCCAGCTGCAGGTGAAGAACCAAGGCAGAATCTGTAGTTAGGAGCAAATTAAATACTGACCATGCGTGTGCTTTAGTAATATGAAACAGAACGGGACAATAATTGTGGAGGCTCGCTGTAGACGTTTGGCCAGGTGTGGTGGCACACACCTGTAATCCGGCACTGAAGGCGCCGGGCTGATGGAGGGACACAGCGCTGAAAGTGCGCATGAAACGCCCTCCTAGTAGGACTTGCGAGATGACATGCATTCTGCATTATGCGGCATGGTGAGTTAGGTTACTCACCTGTCTACGGAATTTTAGTGATTTTTTTATCATTCGTACATTTATAATCATAGTAATCTATTCATTGTTTTCCTCTTGTGTGCAAACAAATCTCAAAAACTACGTAACCAAGTATCCCGAGAAGTGACATCCTGAAAGTCTCAAACCTCAAATGAGACCGCTGAGAAATGAAAGGATTATTTGTGATGTTGGAGGTGTATGTCACAGTATGTGCAACTGGACTTGTCATTTGAATGCATGGCCCATATGTCCGTGTCGCGATGTTAGCTGTGGATCACCATACGTGTGTGTGTGTGAACTGCGAACTGCGTTTTGGGTGTGCGAGCTGTGTGTGGAAGCTGTCGTGGGATCACAGCCCGGACATTTGTCGGTCATCTCGGTTACCCCTAAACTTCTGGGTTTGTCCCGTGACCTCCTGCCAGCGAGCCTTTGACACTGCATATTTGGCCTCATAGTGCACCTAGCTTGGCACAAGCTCTGTGATGACATCACGCCACAAAGTGAGCTGTGTGATTATACGTGTGTGGAAGCTGGTATGTAAGGCACTGTGTGTGTGTGTGAGCTATGTGTGACACTGAGTGGTCCATCTTTGCTCCATTGTGACTTGTCTCATTGTGTTTATGAATCTGTGTGTTGAAGATATTTCCCTACCTACGAGTCGTCATTATGTTTATATACAAGCCGTGTTTGCACGCTGTTCATTCGCTCTTTGTGAGACCAATGTTTGTGCGCAACTGTTCATTGTGTGTTAACAGCCTCCATACCTGTGCTGTTTATGCAGTCCGTGTTTGTGTTACTGTGTGTATAGTTACTATGTTTACTCTGTGTATAGTTTGTGTGTATTGAGTTGTGCGCCAGCCGTGTTGCTGGTTATGTGTGCGTGTGGCATGTCAGCATAGCCATGTAAGCATATGTGCATTGCCCTTGTTTGTATAACTGTTTATGTGCGGTGTCATTGTGACCATCGGGAGTCATTGTGTCGTTCGTGCAAACATTGGCGGAGCACATTGTCTCATCAAAATGCTGCTCTCCCTCCGCATGAATCCGGTAGTGGAGAGGGGGGGGACACCCACCACCATGCATAATCAGCATCCTGATCATGTATCAATGAGTAGTCATTACTTTTTACAATTTCCATAAACTACCGCTGAATACAAATTCTGGTCCACATTGGACCGTTAACAATGTGATCATCCCAGTTCCTATCAAACAAACTAATTTAGCTCTCATCCAATCTGAAGTAAAATGAAGTGAACAAAATGTCAAGTTAAAGCTATGGCGATCGCTCTAGGCCATAGCACCGAATCCCATCACCAAACCCAACGGTTAAGCCGTCCCTGTCACTGCAATTTGATCTGCTGCTGCTACAAGAGGCTGCTCGCAGTATCTCTGCGAGCTTTTTTCTGCTTAGTTCCAAAAAATAAGTGTATATATTTATAATCCAGGAGAGTCTCAGAGTCTCTCGATTCTCTTTTATACAGTGTTTCTGCTTTGGATGTTTGGCCCATTATTTTTTTGTATAATTTAGAACGTGGAGGGAAAAAAAACTGGAGTTAACGAATAAAATCGAGACGCTTAAGGATGATAAAACTGAAATATCTATCTGGAGAGGTCAGCAGCCTGCTCGTTGCCCCAGCGTCTGGACGTCTCAAAGCACGTGGTGATGTTTGCGTGGTCCTCTTTTGTTGTTTTTGTCTCCGTCCTTTGTGCCCGAAGGTGACACTGCTTGATGGTATCATGACTTGTGTGCGCACGATGTCTGTGAAGACCGACGATTCGCGAGTGGAGTTTGACCCCCAGTGGGGTTGCACCTGTGGTTTGACGTTTGAAGAAAAGTCACCTTGTTGAGGCTCCAGTTGTTCACGAAGTTGTCTGTTCGTCTCAACCTTGGAACGACGTTTCTTAAACGACAGTGATGCACTAACCCCGGCCTCAAAAACAGCAAAGACGCGTGCTGGTCATGCCCTTTATTATTTTCACCGTCCGTTATCCGTACACGTGCGGCCTCTCTGTGCGAGTCGCGTTTTTGTGTCGCTGTATGGCTACACGGGGCTCTCATCCCATTGTGCGACGGTCTGCTGTGTGCGTGCACTTGCAGGAGGAGCAAAAGCGAGCTGCTGAGGCTGTCCAGCAAATGCAAACAAAGACCCCGCTCAGCTCGTTGACCGGCAGACTCTGGCGCCGATAACACTCGTGAAGACAGCCCAGCCTTGCAAGGCCCTCCCTCCTCCCCCACCTTTACACATGCGTCGCTATTCACACGGAGATACTTGCGTACACAGCCTCATGCACACGCTCGTACGTGTGCGTACTCCAGCGTACCACTGCCCTTCATACAGGAGTAAAAGTAGGGCTGGTGGTGCTGCCTAAGAATCCACGTATAATGCACACATTTCACGATGAAGCAACTGTCAATCTACAACACATCGCGGCAGTAAAATGCAATTAACTATTATTTTGTCACATTTGGTACATTTGCTCGCATATAACCGTAATTACTTCCCCAAAATTGTGATATTTTTTATTTTATGTAATCCCTTGACTTCACTGAACCATGCCAGGCTCGATGGCTGACAGCTGTACCAGCTAAGAGGAAATATTTTATTGATTTAAACATTGTATATGGTTTAAGGAAAACGAAGTAGTTCTCAACTGATGCAACAACTGTTCAGGCCAAGAGCAGTCCATCTGCCTCTTGTGTTTATCATTCGTTACTTATTTTGGGAATGCACCTTGATACCGGTTGAAATAAAATAATTATTTGACAATAATTTAACAATTAAGCTGTCTGCTGTCATTGATCACAAAATAGGCTGCTAGCAGTGTAATATTTAGCATAAATGTAAGGGGAGTGGTGGCAATGCTTTATGAACTCAGCCACCTGAGTTTAGCGATTATTACTTCTGAACGAGTTGTGGGTGCCAGCGCGTCACTGACATGCACTGGCCAGTGCGGTGAAGTATGGTCAAACAATCCCCATGACAAGATACGGGGGGGGGGGGGGTTGCGGAGGCTTGTATTCAGCAGTGGCCTGACGAAGGGTTGTCAACTATTAATGTATACCACGAAGATATAATTTATGTAAAAAAAGTATTAAAATCTGCTGCTATACTGACCAGTGATGCCATTCAGGAAGGAAGCAGGATGAGAAGGAAGTTACCGTAGCAGTGACAGGTACTGGGTGGAGGACGTGCGAGACATCGACACTCGATGCACATTCATCATCGCACCTGAACAAGCCGCGTTTCCTCCTCGTGGACTCCCTGGGCTGATGGGGCTCACCGGAGCTGCGGAGCCGTTTCATCATCTTCGCGGTTATGGCGGTGGATAGAGTTTTTCTTGCCCGTCTCCTCGGTCCCCTGTGCCGTTTCAGCACGAGTGGTTGGAGATTGGCTCTCTCTCTCTCTGGAGTTGTTAACTCACGTTCTTGTTTGTCTGAAATTGCAAAGTAAACGCTTTTTTTGTTACTTCCTTGACACTTTGTGCATTGATCTCTGCTGCTCACGGTTGTGACGGGTTCGTCCGGAAGCACCCGGCATCCTGCCATGGCGCTAAGTATGGGGTTGAGGGTTCTGCCTCGCTGATCAACATCCACTGAGAGCCGGCTTCGGTGTGCAGTGCTGCCCGTTAAGAAATGAGGCCAAATCAAATTACTTTCAAAATGTTGACGTGCACCTTCATTCGGCTGCTTTTCATGTTAAAGTGCAGCACTTCTGTGACGTGTCACAAATGCAGTGTGCGCAGTGCATTGGCCAGCATCGGAGGGCAGAATCGCGTGCGAGAACGTGCAGGAAAACGTGAAGTCCTGATCATGGAAAGATCCTTATAGTCGAATGCCATTGCCAGTGTTCGCAGGAGCAAGAAGGGAGAGAACGGTGTGTGGGGGGGGGGTATGTCTGGTTCCTCGCTGCTCTAAAGAGTCGCAGATTGAGTGAATACTGTGCGGTTTAAAGTTGGAATCATTATAACAGTACAAATGAGCGAGACAGAAAATCGATTCAGGAATGTTGACCCTGACTTGTGCGAATTCATAGACGAGCGAATCTTGACATGACCACTGGGCCCCAGACGAGCGTGTTGCACGATGATCCGTTCTCCTCGTGTGCAGCTCTGCGTGCATTGTCAACATCGGAACATCTGGGTTGACGAATAATTGGAGACAAAGAGTATAACTACAATACTTCACCGGTATGTGACCTACACGAACCTCTCAGAATAAAATAACGTTTTTACGTAATTTTTTGGACGAGAAGGCTATTTAATTTATACCCCACCGTCAAAGTTCGCTACAATTTGCACCGTTGTGAGAAATCTCCTTTTATTGAGGTCTTCATTGTATTAAAATCATAGCACTTCCTACAAATCGCTTTCCATGTTTTACCTGCCCAGATGTTTGCAGTGAGACGATTGGCAGGTGGAATGTATTTGGGTAAAGTGTTGGTAACTCTCGCGTCTCTCGAGACGTCTGGCCAACTTGGAAGAGTAGGCCAAAGACCTGGTGAGGGGCGGGGCCATGCTATCTGTAGCTCACTCGAGTGGAGGCCCTTTCTCCAGCAGTGGTGCCACAGTGGTGAGATGTTAACTACCTCACCCGGTATACAGGAGGCCATGGGTTTTGACCCCCGACCCTGACGCTGTATATTTGGAGTTTGCGTGTCCTCTCCGTCGTCGCGTGGATTTTTCTCCGGGTCCTCCACATTTATAATCAACAACATCACGCGTTTAGAGTATTGGGTTGCTGTACATTTCCACGTGATAAGTCGCTTCGTTGAGCTTTCATTTGTGGCCAGGTCACTTCTGAAAAAGAGAGCTATTGTACAGTCGCTCAGTGAGCCTTACTTGGTTAAGTAAAATAAAGTACAAAAAATGTGTGGTGTGAGCAAGCAATTGCAGGGGCTGCACCTTTATCTTCCCACACTGAGCTGGATGTCGGCAGTGTTGTCAAGGACGAGTCGCGGGCCCTGGCAGCCTGGTTCAGTGTCGCCTTTGTGACTGCCTCAGGTTCATTTATTCGGTATAGCCCTGTGAGCCATTCGTCTCTTGAATAGGGTGCAACCGCAACAAACAAAAACATGAACAAGAAAACATCTTAATGGGACTATGCGCAAACAGAAAAATACAGGGAAAAAACAGAAAAATCTTCCAGAAAAAGCACTACACCAACTATCTGTGCAAAAATCCCAGTGAGATGTCTCGTGGACTTTACGGACCGAATCCCTGGCACAAGAGCAGGCACCCACCACGACTGCACGGCCACAATAGAAGCGATACGAAGTCGACTTGAATACATTTGCTACCGCCGGTGCATCGCAACGCCGTATGTTGATATAAATACAACAACAACACTGGCTTCGGGCGGTTGTGTTTACGTCTCCCCGCGTAGTGCAAATTGTGTTAGCCGCTTGTATATTTCCACGACCGAAATGATCTGTAAGTTCTTGCGAATCTTCGTGTGCATAATGCCAAGGTGAAGAAGGCAGGGGCGGTCGCGTTTGGAGAAAGTTCATGCGTTGGGGTGGTTTGGAGGAGTTCTAGGGAGGGAGTTGTCCGTGTTTGCGTACATGGATGCGTGAGCGTTGTGTGTTTGTGTGAGAGTGAATAGATGCGTGAGAGTTGTTTGAGAGTGAATATATGCGTGAGTTGGAGTGAATAGATGAGTGGGAGTTGTGCGTGGGAGGGCGAATAGATGGGTCACATACCTGTCCACCCATACCCTTATTCTTGTACATGGAAATTGAGTTTTCAAGTCAATACGGCAAACAGACGTTTAAATATGTGCAAAAAAAATATCTGTTTGTGTTTCTCGCTTGTGATGGGACTTTGTAGGATGAACGTTGATATTTATAAGGGCACGGGTTGACAATAAGGTCTTAATTGGTCTGTAATAAGGTAGGGACTGATAAGGAGTTGGCGGGTTTGGGGTTAGTGGAGGACTTCTAGCGCTGATGCTTGTGTGCGTTCACGTGTGACAGGTAATGGGATGGGTCCCTCAGTGTGCGTGTCACACGTGCAGTGCTTGGGACTCGTCGGGTTGACAGGGGTAGTTCATGTTCTTGTATCATAAACATTAGAATCGCTATTCATCGATGCATCATAAAATGCCTGAGCAACTTCCACCACCAACCCCTTCCTCCACTACCTCCACATTTGGGATCGCAGAAACACGTCTTGTGCCCACGTCTTAACGAGAGGTCGTCTCGACCGAGACAAAATACCAGCGAGTTTGTGTCGAGCCACGAGAGTTCTCATCAGAAGTGGGCAAGCATCCCTCCTCCCGATGCTGCCACGTGCTGGGTTGTAGCCGTGACAAGCAGTGGAAATTAGACATTCATATTGCAGGGCCCAGAGGAGTACTCGTTTAAGGCTACCCCAAGCTTTATTATTATTATTGTGGGGCCCAGAACCCTGAGTGAGACAGGCTCATGGCTAACTTAAATATCATTATGTTCGCAGCCGATCACGGCACCAACACATAGGCACTACAACGTTTGACGCACGCAGAGTACACACCAAGAGTATGATCAATCTCTTTATTTGCTACACGCTGATAATTATAGACAAACACCTGACACGTCATAAGCCCATGGTATTGACACTTCAGGTAGATTTACGGATATAGAAAAAAAAGCATTTTGGCAGTGGGAGAGCCTAGCGGACGCCTTGGTGACAGATTATCTTCGCCCGCACCTCCAATTAGCACATTTGGCTTCGTACGGTGCAAAAGAAGGTCAACATACACGCGCACATACAGATGAGTGAAACACCTGCAGTCGGCCTGCCACGTGTAAAGCGGTGGTCTCATCGTTTTACCGGTAGTTTAGCTCTAATTGTATTTAACCAGGCGAGAACTCGTTTAGAAGGGTCACCTGGGTCACGTGGGTCACGTGTGCGCACGTGGCGTCACTGGCGCCAGGTGGAGGGAGACGAGAGTTCCTGCCGAGAGCGGGGCTGAACCAAGGTCTCACCTTCACTTCAAACCAAACAGCTGAGCTATTGAGTATTAAACAAACACTCTCTTGTCAGTTTGGAGGCACAACCTCTTACAAATGCTTCAACCTGTATAACGCACCTGCCTTTACAGTGTACGTGTGTAAATGTGTTATATACAATGTGCACCTGTGTATGTACAAACATGTGCTTTTGCAAATGTGACAATTCAATAAACGTTGGCAATAAATCAATGTGGATATGAAGGTAAAACTAACAAAGATTTATTTGTAAAAGATTTGCAATTAGAATTTTACTTTTATATTTGGAGATGGCTCCGGGGCCTAATGCTATGTCAGAGCACTGAGCCAAACCCACAGAGATCCTGAAAGTGAATCTGGAAAACCACCCATAACTAAAATAATTAACTTGTAATCGTTTTGCGTTGTATTCCTTTCCCCTCAAATTTGATGTCAATTGTGCACTCGGATTAAGGGCACGAGACAAAGTATCCTCAGCTCTCACAAACCGCTGCATCGCGCCCCATTAGGGAACGGGAAGGAGAAGGCTCCCCCTCATCAAACGGCCAAGTTCTCACACAGCGCCTTCAAGTGACCTCTCGTAGCCACGCTGCAATCTCCCGTGTGCCCGGCTACAAGAAATGTTTGTCGCAGGGCAGTCCAATGGAATAGTTTAAACTGTTAGAGTTGGAATATTCTTGTGAGTATGACTTTTGTATGGCCAATTAAGCGTAACCATTCGAGATTCAATTCTACGCGATTAACTCAGGCAGTGCGAAGCTGCGGGCCACGGCTTGCTATTCATAGCCACAGTCGTATAAAGGAGAGTGTTCTATTCGAATCCAGTCAGACAATGCCCATTGTTGTCGTGGAACATGGCAGCCAGGCAGTGTGATGGCAGGCACGTTGAATCTTGAATCCCAAGTATTTTGTCCACACCGTTTCGATCATGATATTCAAGTCAAATTACAAAGAGTTTGTGCGTGTTTCCAAAACGACTTTCTGGATCTCAGCCATGGGTCCGGAATGTTGTTCAGATCGTCGTTGATTGGCAGGTTTGTACTGACTTCTGACCAGTGCAGTTGGTGAAGTGTTGCAACAGGGCAGCAAATATCCGTTGGTGGGCGATGTTTGACAGTACAGGAAGCCAAGGTAATAGCTTAGATTTTGAAGCTCCTGAGATCTGGGTTTTGAACGCGATCTTCAGTTGGGCATGATGAGTTTACTCTGTGGTTGAGTACGCCTGGGCAATTGCCGATGTCCAAGGCACGTAGGCATCCGACCCCCAGCTCGTTCCAGCAAACAGTAGAACCCCTCTTAACGACCATTCCCGTTAACGACGGGCTGTTGTGGGTACAGTAAATATTAAGTAATGCATTTATTAACCATGTTTCTTTTAATGTTATGTGTTTATGTTTTTAGTATCTTATGTATTAATATCCACGGTTTAAATATTATAAAGTACGTTTTTTGGGTGAAAAAGTAACTTTCAATGCTGTCGGAACTAGTTAAGCCTCTAACGTGTATTTCCTATACTCGCTAAACGACCAAATCACTTAACGACCAGTTTCGTGGAACCAACTACCGTCGTTAAGAGGGGTTCTTCTGTCATTGTAAATGAGGTTTCCCCTTGGCTTTGCCTGCAGCCTCTTTCATGTGTGTATTACATAAAGTCGGCTTGTGGTCAAGTGTCACACCAAGGTAGATCGACCTCGGGGGTCATGTCGCGCCTTATTTGCCACAGAAAGTCACATCGAGTGTGGCGCTGTTGTCAAAACGAAACATCGAAACAATCAAGTTGCTTCTCGGTCGCCACTTTCAGAAGTACTCTGCCATGATGTTGAAGCCGGAGTCGAGAGTGGCCTCCACCTCAACAGGACCGTGGCCTTGTTAGCCGGGGCCATGTCGTCCACCGACACAAATTTGCCAGACGATATCCATGGCATTTTTTGTCAGCGGTGATCATTACATTCAAGCACCCGGTTTAATCGTCGGTGGCTGCTTGGGTTCAAAACCAAGATCTCGGCTCATCTAGTTCAGTCCATTGACCTCTGGGTGACCCAGCCACCTCAAGAGTTAGTTTGCAAGCGTAATGAGAATTAATCGTCTCAGCCCAGTGACCAATGATAGCTCGACAAACCTTCAACTTTGACATATTTCAATGTTACTCCTTGCTTACCAAAGGGGACTGCAGTATGCAGTGTTTGGCACACGTCTTATTATGAATATCCTTCCTTATCCGCACAACCATTATCCCACGCTTCTCTCCCTTCCCTCCGTGTACCATTCCTTGACTGATTGACCCTCCTACCTCCACCCCCAAAGTCTACCCTGCTAACCCTGACTCCAACACAGCCTCTCCCCACCTCACAACCCTTTCCCTCTGTTAATTCCCACGATTACCCCTTCTCCTCTAACCCCTCCCCTGCCACCCCTCCACTCTCCCCCACGCGACCTACCACCCCTCCACTCTCCCCTGCCACCCCTCCACTCTCCCCCACCCCACCTACCACTCCTCCACTCTCCCCTGCCACCCCTCCACTCTCCCTCACCTCCCCACTCTCCCCTGCCACCCCTCCACTCTCCCCCACGCGACCTACCACTCCTCCACTCTCCCCTGCCACCCCTCCACTCTCCCTCACCTCCCCACTCTCCCCTGCCACCCCTCCACTCTCCCCTGCCACCCCTCCACTCTTCCCTGTCACCCCTCCACTCTCCCCCACCCGACCTACCACCCCTCCACTCTCCCCTGCCACCCCTCCACTCTCCCCCACCCCACCTACCACTCCTCCACTCTCCCCTGCCACCCCTCCCCTCTCCGCCACCCCACTTACCACTCCTCCACTCTCCCCTGCCACCCCTCCACTCTCCCTCACCTCCCCCCTCTCCCCTGCCACCCCTCCACTCTCCCCTGCCACCCCTCCACTCTTCCCTGTCACCCCTCCACTCTCCCCCACCCGACCTACCACCCCTCCACTCTCCCCTGCCACCCCTCCACTCTCCCCCACCCCACCTACCACTCCTCCACTCTCCCCTTCCACCCCTCCACTCTTCCCCAGCTCACCTACCACCCCTCCACTCTCCCCTGCCACCCCTCCACTCTCCCTCACCTCCCCTCCCTCCTCTCCACTCTCCCTCACCTCCCCTCCCTCCCCTACCACCTCTCCACTCTCCCTCACCTCCCCTCCCTCCCCTGCCACCTCTCCACTCTCCGTCACCTCCCCTCCCTCCCCTGCCACCCCTCCACTCTCCCCTGCCACCCCTCCACCCTCCCTCAGCTCCCCTCCCTCCCCTGCCACCTCTCCACTCTCCGCTGCCGCCCCTCCACTCTCCCTCACCTCCCCTCACTCCACTCCTCAAATCCTGTCGACCACTGCCCATCAAACCACCACGTTCTCTCGAGCCCCGATGAGCCTGGGCACGAGGTCTCGTGTTCAATCCTCTCGGTCGGTCATGGCTCACGTGCTCACGAGTCTTCAACCGGCCGTCTGAAACGGCATGCGCAAGCGAATCGTGAAACATACTCCACGAAAAACTGTTATCGATGCAGACATGAGGCAGAATACAGTCACTCAAGTCTTCGTACTCATCACATCATCATTTCCTGAAAAAGGCACCCCAGTTTTCACGTTTTCATTTATCATAGTCCTCTGCCGAACTGCAGTTCTTTGGCTTAAATTACTCTGTCTTGTCTGATCTTGAACTTAGTTTCACTGTTGGACCCCTTTCCTTCAAGTCATCAAAGAGCATTTTATTTTTGCCTCTTGGCCAATTTGTCTTTTACTACCGCTGACCCACAGTACCTGTTACTGTATTATAAAAGCTGAAACATATATAATACCTTAAACCACCTAATGTATGATCTCACTGATATGGAGGACCATTTCCCTGAAACATCACTCATTTATGTTTATATTTAGATGTAGAAAAATATAGATTGTTTCCTCTCAGGGCACTGTCATTGATGACTGTGTGGAGATTTTGTTATTTGTGCTTGTGCACCACTGCCAATGCAGTGTTACAAAACAAAAATGTGCGGTGTGAGACAGGAATGGACTGGATATGTATGTGACAGGATACCTGCAGATTTGAGCGAGGAGATAGATGTTATAACCTTCAACAAATCTTCAAACACAGAGTGTAGATCTCCCTAAAGGCACAAGAAGACAAGGAGATATAATAGCGCTTTGTGCATTAGCTTTAGAAACAATGACGTGGACTTCCATGACCCTTGCATCAGTGTTAGTTGAGTCAGAATTTAATATTTCATTAACAGTCTTCGTTTAGTCGACAACAACCAGAATAATTTTAATACATTCATAGTCTGTGGGTTTCATTCAGTAATTTGCTTCGTCTTGTCGACTAAACCTGTGAAACATGTAGCCCACTCTTGGTTATTAAATGGTGGTGTGAGGGGCACGCAATTTCCTCTACCCTCAATATATTATCAGGTCAGCCAATTGGTGCACTCAATCTTTCCATATACACAAACAGCCAATGACAATATCTGGTTTTCCTCCGTGAATGTCAGTCTCTTACAACGTTACAACACATCTCACTGCGCCTTAACTTACGCCCATTAGGTGCTTCTCGGCACAGTCACGCGTTGGTCTTTGGCGGGCAGTCAGCGTCATCATCATCGACAGAATAAACACCGCCTTCTCGAAAAGTGGACGCAACAATTAAGAGTCGATGCCCCAGATATGGTGAACAAATGCGCCAGTTTTTGAAGATGAGTCAGCCAACAGGATGCAGCCATGATACAAGCATAGACAAGCCTTTCGTGACTCAAACTTGACGATGCAATAGATTTGAGAAAATACGGTGGAATTTAAAAAATCCCCGACGCACATTATCTGTAATTAAGATTTATCAGGAACTCATAATTGACCCTATGAATAACATAATTACTACTAATGGAACATTATCCAGCAAATGCTTGTTATTACACACTTCCAAGCCATTGATATATACACTTCATAGCTCCGTGACGTTATCTTAAAGATTACAGCACCAAAAGACGTGCAATTTCAATTAATTTGGTCATTTAAATAAGATATGCACAACAAAATGAATGTGTAGTGGGTTCGTCTATTCAACCAGCTATTTGTTTTATAAGAAAGACCTGGAAAACAACAATTATGTTTGGATGATTAATTATAAAATAATAAAAACAATCCTGGCAGAGATGATCGTCTCGCTTAATATGGAAACCCAGCGATTTCATCACAGGAGGCTACCAGAGTTTTGAGTTTTTAACATCTCGGCATTCGTTGTAGTGCCTATGTGAATGTATGAGTCCCCAACAAAAGCAGAGCGCTGAGAATGGCACAGGGATTTGATCAAAACGCATTGTGGCACGTATTGAACATCCCTGCATTTGCCTCAATTGAACTCTCCTCTTCATTCCTATAGTCATACCTCGGTATACAACCACTTTGGAATACGTCGAATTTGGTATACGTCGTGTTTTGACGAGAAAAAAGTGTCTTGGGATACGACGTCTTGCTTGGGATACGACGCGCTTGCTAGAACTTGTATGGGTCTGGATGAGTCTCCGCGTACACACGTCTACCCCGTTCACGACTGAAACAAAGTGCCGCTCCTCAGTCTGCCTGTAGATCTCGTTCAGTGCACAACCCTTGCTATCAACTCCTCTCAGCAAGGTAAAGTGACGTAAAATATTATTTTAATTTATATTAATAAGTTTAGGCATTTATTTTAATTTATGTATGCATTTTAGTAATAAGTAGTGTCTACATTATTTTATACAACCCCATTAATGTATAATATGCCATATAAAATATAATTTCTTACTCTGGAACGGATTATTTCCTTTCCCTTTATTTCTTATGGGAAAAATTCGTTTGGTGTTTACGTCATTTTCGGTACAAGTCCTACCTTCTGGAACGAATTAACGACGTATACCGAGGTACCACTGTATTTGGAAAACCTCCATTGGGTGTTAGATATATAAATATATATATTTATAGCAAGTATTGATGCAAGGCAAGTGGTATAGACATCTAATCAAGTCTGTTACAGAAATAGGCTCGAAATTTCAAGATCTTATGCTGGTAACCAGGAACCATTGTTGAGTATAAATGAGTAGCAGTTTTTTTTATGGAAGGAGGGATCATGGGCTGAGTTAACCCCCGATGAGCATTTTGGTTTCGCATCCATCCGATTGAGAGCCGCGCGCTCTCCCGCTGCGCCACGTGGCCAGGGAGACGGATGTAAAGGGCAGAGCTACCAACATCGATCATTGATATCCCCGTCTCCAGAGCAACAACACACAGAGAAGTCTCGTGTGGCGAGCATATTCTGTACCTGTCCGTCCAGCAGGTCGAGGGAGGGAGCACCTTGGTGTGCCTGTTGGTACTTGTGCTGGAACAGGTGGCCGTCAAACAGCTCCCAAGGCATGATGCACGACTTGGGCAGGGGCTTCCCGCTCGCAGAGTTCACGGTGAGCATCGTGTGCAGGCCACGCACTGCCAGGGCGCCCAGGTGCACGGCACGGGCATCCACCACGACTTCCTGCCAGAAACGGATGCGCAAAGCAAGAGCTGATTCGACCCCGAGCTGGGATTTAAAATCGCATCCGTCTGACCGTGAGCCGCACGCAATAACCAATGCATCGCGTGGCCAGATAGCAAAGCATTTACTGTAGATATTTGTAATACTATCATTTACTGCAAGATCTGACCATGCCCATCTAGTGCTCGCTGAGCTGCATTGGCTTCTGGTTGCCGAACGAATACATTGTAAGGTCGCACTCATTACACACAAAGTGCTTGCCACAAAACACATTCCTGCGGAGGGAGCTGGTAGGAACGTTGGGTTGCTCGGTCAATGGCCAGGGTCAACGGCGGCGTGGTGTTATTCCGCAAATATGCCCGACTGTGAGGACGGGCACAAGCCTGCGTGAGTAGGTTAAACGTTGAGTTTTATAAGGGCACCACGGGGTGACCAGCCACTCCCCACCCAGCCCCACCCCACCCTCCCCACCCAGCCCCTCCCCACCCTCCCCACCCAGCACCTCTCCACTCTCCCCTCCCCACCCAGCCCCACCCTCCCCACCCAGCCCCTCCCCACCGTCCCCTCCCCACCCAGCCCCTCCCTCCCCACCCAGCCCCTCCCTGCACGACGGTCGGACACAATAATGCCTTGTGGGCTGGTGTAACCAGGAGGTTCCAACCAGTATTACCCACAATACCTAGCTGATGTCGTCAAGGAGCATAAACCATCATGTGAACCCCAGTTATCCTCACAGCAGCTTTTGGCTAGCCGTCGAACAAAGAATAAAATTAACTCTTAAAACTTAGGCTAACGTCTGTTTTTCCATTTATCGATTGCTTCAACCATTTTCTGACAATGTTTTCACACACATACACAGATGACCCTGTACACGGCAAGCAATCATCACTAATCTCAACACCCTATCCAAATTTTCCTAACAACTGCAGTGTATCTGCGTGGCTGAGAGACAAAAGGTGGCTGAGCTCAGTGCACACAGGTGAGCACAATGGACATGGATAAAGACGTCTGGCTCGTACCTCATATATCAAAACAACGACATCAATCAGTTATCCGTGCTCAAACATGCATGGCCTGCGCAGCTGTGTTGACGAATATGCCAGTGCACTGTGTTCTGGAGGTAACGCAGGAAGGGATATTTGTCCATCTGCTCATGCCAAGCCATTTCGGATCATGACATTGTGGTTTCTGTGCAACTGCATGGTCTTTAGGTTGGGTAGGAGTGCATTTAGCGTGGCCAAACGTGTTGCTGTACCATTTAACATTGCAGGGAGTATGCAGTGGCTTAAAATATTCTCCGAAGACTATCATCCGAAATATTTTTGTACAGCATACAGTGAGGGAAAAAAGTATTTGATCCCCTGCTGATTTTGTATGTTTGCCCACTGACAAAGAAATGATCAGTCTATCATTTTAATGGTAGGTTTATTTGAACAGTGAGAGACAGAATAACAACAACAAAATCCAGAAAAACGCATGTCAAAAATGTAATACATTGATTTGCATTTTAATGAGGAAAATAAATATTTGACCCCTCTGCAAAACATGACTTAGTACTTGGTGGCAAAACCCTTGTTGGCAATCACAGAGGTCAGACGTTTCTTGTAGTTGGCCACCAGGTTTGCACACATCTCAGGAGGGATTTTGTCCCACTCCTCTTTGCAGATCTTCTCCAAGTCATTAAGGTTTCGAGGCTGACGTTTGGCAACTCGAACCTTCAGCTCCCTCCACAGATTTTCTATGGGATTAAGGTCTGGAGACTGGCTAGGCCACTCCAGGACCTTAATGTGCTTCTTCTTGAGCCACTCCTTTGTTGCCTTGGCCGTGTGTTTTGGGTCATTGTCATGCTGGAATACCCATCCACGACCCATTTTCAATGCCCTGGCTGAGGGAAGGAGGTTCTCACCCAAGATTTGACGGTACATGGCCCTGTCCATCGTCCCTTTGATGCGGTGAAGTTGTCCTGTCCCCTTAGCAGAAAAACATCCCCAAAGCATAATGTTTCCACCTCCATGTTTGACTGTGGGGATGGTGTTCTTGCGGTCATAGGCAGCATTCCTACTCCTCCAAACACGACGAGTTGAGTTGATGCCAAAGAGCTCCATTTTGGTCTCAAAAGACACCTGGGAGCCAGAAATCTTTCTGATTGAGAAGAGGTCAAATACTTATTTCCCTCATTAAAATGCAAATAAATTTATAAAAATTTTGACATGCGTTTTCTGGATTTTGTTGTTGTTATTCTGTCTCTCACTGTTCAAATAAACCTACCATTAAAATTATAGACTGATCATTTCTTTTTCAGTGGGCAAACGTACAAAATCAGCAGGGTATCAAATACTTTTTTCCCTCACTGTATATTGATGTTGCGAGTTTGGTATGCCAATGCCAGTGCTGTCCCAAACTTCGTTGAATGCGTACATTTTTAATTTCTTCAAATACCTTTTCATTTTTTTGAAGGGGTGCATGTTTGTGGACTTAATTAACTGATTTAAGGCGCGTATGTGTGTATGTATGTATGGGTGTACATTCCATGAAAAAAAACTTTTATGAAACCTGATTTTTTTCAAGCAGCTGATTGATATCCAGGACAAGTCATCGGTAGCGTACACACATTGGTTATTGTGAAGTGTTCATGTTGGTATAGTGATGATAGCCATTTGTTCCTTAATTATGAAAGTCCAATACATCTTATTTCCTATATCAAACAATGAGCTTCCATAACTGAGAGAATGTCATTGAAAGTGTGGGCACTCAGCAAATGAGCCAGTTTAGTTCTTACACGTGGCCTGTTTCCTTAATATATCCGCTATGTACGTGGCAATGGGGATTTACGCATTTTCTTGTCATTAGGGCACAGCTTATTAATTTCCTTAATACCAGGAAATTCCTTTTCTGTTTGCCAACATTTTTTTCCCTTTTTACGATAGAGATTACCCTACAAGTCCTCCACTCCTTACACTCCGGGGCTATGATCCGCAGGCCAAACGAGGCCCATGGGCTGATGTCATCCAGCCGGCGGCATCATTCAATCTTCCTGCTGCTCCAAACAGCCCACACCGTGAGCGTGAGATGTAATTTATCAAGTGAACTCTCCTGTCAGTTCAGGCGTTTGTCTGAGGGCGATGATCGGTTAGGCGTGGGACTGGGCAGCCATTTCAGCATGGTTTCCATGAGTACTGTACGTTAATCCATGCTTTTTACACGCATTTATTTAACTCACTCTGTCTGTTGTCGTTGTCGTCGTCGTTGTATCCTCAAATCTTGTAACTCAATTTTAACCCACTTCCCAATGTGGTATCGACTGCAAACTTGGTATACTTATGTCATACTGATGACAATACTATATTCTATCATAAAAAAGAACATATTTTAAAACATTATTTTTAATATATTATCTTTCGGCTTGGGTCTAATTGTCCACGCTTCGGGCCACTTCCTGGAGTCGTGGAGTTGTGCCATTACTAGTCGGGTACATTTAATTAAAGCGTATTTAAAAACAAGTATTTTTAAATGTTACTTATTTAGCCCTTTACCTATCTGTCGCTCACGTGCCTCATTTATCTATTTTGTGTCATACAAATGAATCTCTCACCTTATACTGTATCTCGTTTTAATACATTCGTAACATATCTTTCACTCGTCTTCTTTTTACGATATACATATTCTGCGTGCATTTCTCCCCTCTTCCAAATTCATCAGTTTTGCTCGTCATTTTTGGTGTCCCACGTCACTCTCACAGATGACACTCTATGCTGGTCTGCCGAGTTCTCACCGGGTTAAACAAATGAACTAAAAACTTGAAAGCAAAGAGTTCCATACCCTTTCCCGAAGCGATGTTGTCTCGATTAGAATTCTGTTGCTCTCATAAAATACATTCTGAGTTCCTTATTCTTAGGCCTTGTCTTGCTTTGACCCTTCAGTAGCATGTTTTCAATCTATTCGATGCGTTATGATTGCAATTTCCTGCTCTCATTCCTATCCTAAGGGGTTGAAAAATACCACGTATGCCCCATTGTATTTGGCAACTTAGTTCATTGCCGCGTGTATGTACATTAATCATTTGTTTTTATATCACTTATGGAAGATTGTTATTTAATGTTTTTTTTTTGTGGATGATATAACACATGCTGCTTTTCATCTAAAGAGTTTGTCATTTTGTGACGCTGGCCGTGGTATCGACCCCAGCTGGTCTCGTGGGGGAGGGTTCCTGGTTGTGATGAGAGTGGGGGTCATACGCTGACACATTAAAATTTTCTGCAACCACGACTTGGGTCCATTGACTGTGATGTAAACATCTCGTCCATCTCACGGACAAAGTGCTCAAAAAACAGACATCAGAACAAGTAGCCGGGTAGCTTAGGAGGGTATAAGACTATGTCGCAGCACTAAGCCAGCTCCGCTTACATCCTGGGTTCAAATCCAGACGGTAGCCGCCGTTAAATAAACTACGTTTGCAAGTGTAGATCGGTGATGGTCTCCACTCAACCACCTATGAGTGCACATAACAACTACCATTACTATAAAGTTTGATTTTCAAGTAATTTTCGTCCAGCTCTAAAAAATTTCCACAAAATATAAACATTCGTTTTTACAAGTGGAGAGCACCGTTTTTCACGAAATATGGGAAGTGTGCCCCTAGTGTGAAACAGAAGATGCCTCGTGAAAGGCAGTTGTTGTTTTAAGTGGCCAGGTTCCTAGCCAATGATTTGAGATAAAGCAGTACAATAGGGCAATTGCAATATAATTAAGGGGGAGGGGGACCCGACATTGTTGTTATAGAAAACATATAAATGTATTTAGTGCATGTAAATGGTGCTAATTGAACGTACTATTTTATTTAGTCGGTTACAGCTAAAAACACGCATATGTAATACCAGTAAATAAAACTTTACTCTGTTACAAGCTATGATGTCACAGACCTCTGGGGAATGATTCCTATCTTGCTGAAACAGCCAAAACACTCAGTTATGGCAATGTGCCCCAATGTTTATAATGGACAC